GTGTATCATTGCTATGTTAGAGGTGCCTGGTTCTGTTCACGTCAGGAACACAGACACTCCTGACCGCTCCTGATTGAGCTTTCTCGTACTTACTTTAATCCCTCCAGCCAATCACCGGAACAGCACCTTAAATTGGGCCCCGAAAGCTTCCTTCCAAATTATTATTCACTCTTTTGCAATCACTTTTTCTCTTGAGTTATTTACACAGTCGTGTCTGATTAGAGAGACATCTGTGTCAGCTTGGTGTTATAGTGTCATCTATTGCTGATAATGTGGACTATAACATAAGGGCTGGTGCCTAGCGTCACATTTGGTTTTACTTCGTACTACTACGAAATATGAACCATTCACGGCGGTCACCTGAGCCTTCTTACCTCAAGTACGTCAAATAACATCATTAAGTCAAATATAGAGATTTAATATATCATTTACGAATACTGTGTAAAACTTGGAATTTTCATCTGATAAAATTTATTTACCAGTTTTGTTTTGTACTATTCATTTCCTTATGGCTATGAATTCTTGAATAATTTTAGCTATATATTATCTAAGTTTAAAAACAACTATGTTTTGTCGAAGTGCTGTTTATCGGCAACAAATTAGGCCTCATACAGTGCTGTAGTTTTGTCAACTAGGTATATTATAATTATAGTTTCTCGAGGATAATACCGGTAGTTGATTGAGGCACTATGCTACAAGCAGGAAGGTCGCGCGATCAAATCCCGATGAGGTCATTGGATATTTTCTCAATTTACCTAATCCTTCCAGCCGCACTATGGCCCTGAGGTCGACTCAGCCTCTAACAGAAATGAGTACCAGGAATATTCTTGGAATGTTCTTGGGGGTAAAGGGCGGCCGGCGCGTAAGGCTGACAACCTTGCCGCCATCTATGAGCCGATTGTCTAGAAAATGTGAGAACCTCAACATCTCACAACCTTATGGGCCTCCGCGGCCTGTTACAGGGATAGCTTTACTTTTACTTTACTTTAGCACCGTTAGACAAGAATTCTTGGTAAGAAAAAAAGAACAATTTCCTTAATCTGCAACCAGCCACATTCCAAGACAGAGATGAAGATCCAGTCTTAAAGACTGAGGATGTTATAATGTGCTGCCTGGTCAGGACTATTGCGCACCTCGAGGCAAGAAAGGGAGGGGGGATAGATAAGTGCAAAAGAAACCTGGAGATAAATCTGCCTAAGTGCTAATTCGTCCAACATACTTGTACTTGCTACCTAAAGTCACTTGGAGTTGAGCCCGGACTTCCACGGTGAGAATCCAGCGGTTAGCTGCCTAAGCTATAATAGAACTTAATGTAGGTTAGTCAGGGAAAAAGTAGGATTTGTGGCATAACCATTCTGTGTGTTTCCCTCTTTAACTCTTGAACCAACAGACCAAATTTCACGAAATTCTTTACAAATTTCATTCAATTAAAGGCCGCCCCAACCTTGCACAACCAGTAAAAAATGAAAAGCTATCCATGTAATAGGTCGTGGAGGCCCATAGGTTTGTGAAACGTCGAGGTTCTCACATTTCTGGACAATCGGCTCACAGTTGGCGGTAAGACTGCCAGCCTTACGCGCCGGCCTCTCTTTACACCCCAGGAAGACTCGGTATTCCTTTCTGTTAGAGGCTGAGTCAACCCCAGGGTCATAGTGCGGCTGGATGGATTAGGTCAATAGAAAAATCCAGTAACCTCATCGGGAATTGAACCCGCAACTTTCCGGCTTGTAGCAGTGCCGCAACCAACTACGCTACTGCGTGCCCTAATTAATATTATAATAGGCGAAAAATCAATTAATTCTCACATCCGTGATAACTTGAAACATCGCAATTAACACGTAGATTAGGTCACGTGGCTTTACCTGCGCACCCTGATTCCTGCGCACTCAAATTCAACCAGCAAGTGTTGTCCGCCCAGGCACGTAAATCGTTAGGTCCGGCGTCCCCTTAAGGACATAATTCACCACTGTTACCCCTGCCAGTATCAGGGCCGTAAACCTAGGGAAATACGACGTCACATGACCGTATCACTATTGTTACAGGGATCTGCCCAAAGCACCAGGAAGCACAATTAATTGCGCAACTGATGAGTCTGTTGAAAAAGACCACCCACTAGATTTATCCAATCCATGTCGCCCCATCCTATTTCTCTCCAGCTTGGAATCTGCACACATGACTAACAACTCATTACCATAGAAAACAAGAAGTTCAGGGAGGCCGTGCAACCAGTAACAACATGATAGTGGCACGAGCTTCTGAGGTGTGAGGGGCAACAGCATCTCTTAACCTAGGGTCATGAAAAATGTACAGTTACTCTCTTGTATAAAGATACACCTTTGAATTTTTGACTTGAGTAATGTAAAACCATACAATTGAGGCTGTAGGAAATCTGTTTTTTCGACCGGTTTTATGGCATTAAATAGTGGTCTGCCATTAGGAAGAAGAAGAAGAATGAACATAAATTATCCCCCCCCCTTTGTGCGCCAAACCCACTAACCAGTTGTCACTTCAGCTGTGGCTCTTGTTCCACCTCTATCCTCACGCCTGTTCAGCTACGGCAGGGGAAACAGAATTTGGTCTCCTCCATAACATCCACGTCTGCCCTGGTGCCCATCCAGCTTCGTATAGAACGGATACCAGGTGTTATTTCCCTGGGGGTAAAGCAGAAGGGGCGTGAAGCTGACCACTTTCACCTATATATATACAGTATATATACAGTTAATATACCTGCAATCCCACATACATATTCATGTCATGGTGCCTAATTAATAATGCCCAGGGCTTAAGTTTACAAGTTTTTAATTACAAGCATGATAATGGTGTGAAACTTTGAGTTTGTCAGACAATGTCAGCATATATAGTTGCAGTATTTAGAGCCACTAATTTGTGCACTTTTGAACGGTGTTTTCCATATTGTATTTTTCACTAAATTCCAAATCGCACAGACAGACTTTATGTTGGGGAATATGTCATTTCTATAAACAACTTATATAACTCAATCCCTAATATCCGTTGAAAACACAAGATAGGTTTCCACAACATGACTCAAGAGTTCAACCGGATAATATTCTTTATGTGTCATAATTCCAACAGAGCAGAAGGCAGGGTGTGACTGGCTTCTTTGAAACTTTTAATTTGTGTCACTATTATATCACACACTTCCTTTCCTTTGGAATTTCTGTTGTGACTCTGCAGCATATGTTTGGTTGGAGAGTCTGGATTGCAGTTCACTTGAGATTTCCCCTTAATTGTCCCATTTAAAATATTTCCCACATAAATACATATTCTGCCCAAGAAAAAATTTTTAAAGACATATATGGAACATTTCATGTATTTCATAAGTCTTGTGATATGGTATTATATACATAGAGAAATGAATGAGAAACAAAGCAGATACTGACATAAATAAAAAAAATGACACCACTTAACTAAATTCAATAGTCCTTGGTGATTAGCAAACATTGGACTTAGTTAATAGTGACTTTCTGACCATCTCCATTTGTCTAGCTAGTAGCATGTTCTTAGCACACATGGTTAAAAATGGCGAACATATGTGTTGAATTTTGTAAACTTGCGAGAAAATAAACTGATATTTTTCTTACATATATCTGTATAGCATGGCTATAGAACCAAACATGAAATTTAAGGTGCTATCAGTTTCTGAGAAACTGAATATTATTAAAAAGGTGGATGATTAACAACTTTGGTGTACACAAAAGCTGTGGACCAACTTAACCTGCCCGTACTGACACTAAATAATATGTTTGGAAAGGAGAATGGCAGCTGAGAATCATAAAATGCTGCTGTTTACAGACCAGTGCGCAGTATAGGCCAAAAATATTGTGACGTGTTGCGCTATGGAGGACACCCTCTCCCTCCCAGCCGTGACGTAGAAGCATCGGAGCGCTGTCGTTACTACGGTAACAGGCAATCAACACTCTTTCCCCTACCCCGCGGTGACGTGGCAGAGGAGCGGCTGGGTCAGGCAACCACTGCCGTGGCGGGGNCAAGGGATGCCGCGGTTACTGCACAGCAGGAAACTACTCTAGACAGTGCTGCCCAGCAACACCGGTAAACAGGCGACTAGGCAACAAGGAAGCAAGGCGTTTTCCAGTTGTCCGGTTGAGGGTTTATAAGAGAACTACACTACCTAAGGAGTGAGATGAAATGTAGCTGTTGCCGAACAGCAGTTGCGGAAAGAAGAACCGGACGCGTGTGTGATAATCAGTGACAGTTTGTGATAACTGAGAAGGTTTTGGGAGTGAGTAATTAAGTTGCACTTATATAACTCCCGCGTTATAAATACGTGTAGACTACTGAGGATAGAGTGAATGATTAGTGCATAGGGTTTGTAAATTGTAAACCTGTAACAGTGTTGTAATTTATTGTAGCCAAGACTTGTAGGTTGTTAAATAAACCAGTTAACAATCTGAACGTCGTCTTCAGTGGAAAAACACGTTACAATATGTTTAAATTAAGCACTATCCTAGTAGAGTTTCTGCCAGCCAACAGAACATCAGTCATGCAACGAATGGGCCAATGGACAATAAAGTCTTTGAAACATAATATTATAGGCACCTTGTTTGCAAGTTCCTGCAGTGAAACACAACCACCAAAGAGTGCTATGAAGCATGTTTCTTCAGTGCCACATATGTATATGTTTGCAGCATCATGGAATGTTATCAGTTGGGAAGATCAGATTCTGTGAAACCTCACAATGAAGAATATATAACTCAGAAGTAATATCACACATCTGGAAAGATATCTGAGGGAAGAAGAGACATTCACATTTGAATAGAAGGTAGAGGCAGATGACCATATGCTTCCTTGTGCAATTTAGGAAATTGATGACCTCTGTACTGCAGACAAGAACACAGAAACTGATTATGAGGAAGAGGCAGCTGCAGTGTGTAAACTTACTTGTATGTGTAATGAAGCAATGCAATATGTGCCTACACACTACGACTTCCTCAATGGCATTCCTGACATGCCAGAGTCATTTGTCAGGAACATTTGGGAAATGGAAAATTTACTTCAAATCTGTTTGAAAGACAGGTAAAACTAATTATGGTAAATAAGCCCTTCAAGGACGAATAACATTTCATAACAGAAATTTTGACTTTAACCATGTCAGCCAGAACATGTGGTATATATATTTATCGCATTCTTAGCCATTTATTGAATGTAAAAATATAATGTTCATTTTGTTAGTTTTCTATAATTTTATAAACAGTTTGAAACCTATATTTTTAAGATGATTTCCCACTTAAGAAATTTGGTCCCTTGGTAAACTTCTTAAAAGTGGTCCCCTGTACACAAACACTTTCTATATCTTCCAGAGGTTACTCAGTTGTTTGACTAAAATTCTTTTGTCAGTTGTTGATTCAGTTTCATAGTCTTGCCCATTAACACCTGGAAATTTTATTCATCTAACTGCAATGTCATGCATGCAATAATGCAATTCTGACATTAATTTCTTGTACACCAGTTGAAATCTGATTCTAAACTCAGACTTTTCCCACAGTGAACTAACTTTGACAATGAAGCAGGTTCTGCTTGGTCTCTGATGATCTTAAATAACTGATGCATTAAAGTCATTTTCTTTTGCATGGGATTCATGTATATGTTAAAGTGATGGCACATAAGAAGATACTGTATTTGATTTTTTACGCATTCTGCTTCTTGTCCTGGCTACAACAGGCTTCCTTATGTTGTTTAAATGTTACATAAGTATCTGGAAGTTTCTGTGTAGCCTATGGCACTAGGTTCACAGTAAGAGGTCTAAGCATCCTATTGTCAGTGGAATGGGTTCTTGAAGCCTTACTTTGAACTGGCACATAGCACACACATCCCTTCATTTTGTCTCTGGAATATCAGGCAATTTTTGTTTTAGGGGTGTGCCTGTGGGTGTTATGGGCACCCTGTCTGGAGTAAGGACTGCAATATGTCCCGGGGCAGAGTGACGTCTAGACGTTGGTGGTAGGTGTTGGTGGTGTAGACATGGAGGATGTTCAGTAATCACAATCTGGGGTACACCATGTGCAAACCCTCTGTCAGGTGCCAACCCTCCTACTTTCCGGTAGCAGATGTAGCGTGGCACAAACACTTTATCTCGTTGATGCGGTGCTAGTACTGCTCGGGGGACATGGTTTCGCACTGATACTGCTTCTTGGCAACGATTCACCTGTCGGTAGTAGTACAATTCCACTGACTGAGGTCCCCAGACACTCGGTCCACTGAAGACAGCAGCTGCAACAAGATAAACACATCAATTTTCTGAATTTTGTTGACTCGGCTAAGAGGAATTAAGGCTTAATAGCATATGTGGCTTAATTTAGTAGAAACTGTAAGTAAGTGAATTGCTTTTCCTGATGCACGTGAATCATTTGCTAGTAAAAGGAAAACAATGGGTTCTGTTAAAATGGCCCCTGTTAACAGAATGTAAAAAGGCAAAATTCCTTTAACGTTAATAGTGTAAGTTGAATAATAATATGAGTGCAAATTTGTAGAGCCATGGAACTCATACTAATTTGAAAAGAGTAACTAAGGTGACCAGGTAGCAGATATGTTAGTCTGACAAATTCTCACAAACTCAGTAGTATGACAGTAGTGCTTCAACTTCAATTGCAACAGCTACCGAAGTGAGGGAGAGCAAAATTGGTCAGTTTCATTTAATCTACGGCATAACATTCAATAAATGAATTCTTAACAGAAAAGGATTAAATTAAAACTGTAACATATAAGGGGATAAGTATTTCAAAGTTATAGAAACTGCTGTAGTTATTGAGGGTTAACCATGGGGGGGAAAAAACTGAAAATTATCAGTGATTTCTTATTGAGAATCTGTGTCACAACACAGTTTATACTTATTAAACAGAAAATTGTTAACACGCAAACCTGATATTCTACATTATGTTTACATAACAATTATTACAACATTAGACTGCCTGATATTGATAACTTGCAAATGTGTTAAGAATAAACTCAGCAAAATGGAACTTTCAAGTCAGTGTTGCAATACAACAATATTTATGTAAACTTTAAATGTCTTTAAAAAGTAAACAAAGTTGTGCTTACCTTCTGTGGGTGATTTATAGCTAAGGGAGTAAAACAAATGCCTCACCAAAAGAAGACTGCACTTTGATATAGACCAAAGACAAACTTTGTGTTATAGCAAATTATATTTTCTATATTTGCGTGTGTGTGTGTGTGTATGTCTGGACATATTGGATGTTTAAGCAATAGAATTTATATTAATCATATATTGTCACAACGGGAATGTAAAGTTTCATACATGTCTCTTGAAGGGGAAGTTCCAATCTTACTGTCAGAGAGTGATCCTATTATTTCAAATACTCTAGCAATTTAAAAATGTGGGAGAAATTCACCCAACCCACCTGCAAATGGTGGTCTCTGGAGGGAAGAGCTTGGCCTGCCTGGAAGCAGAGTGGGTTGGCCTGGTTGACCAATAGTGTGGCACTCTAATATAAGGTGTGAGCTACCCATGCTAAGTCCTGCGTGTCACGATGAATTCTGCCCTTTGTTTATGAAGAAACATCAGGTCTTCCCCTGCATATGAGGTTCTGTGGGGAGTGGCTGTCTTTCATTTGCAGAAACAATCAAATTCTCTCTAGGGTTCTAACTGTGGGTATGCAACTTCTGACACACATTTCCTCACAGTGGAGTGAGCAACTTGACCATCAAGAAGGGGAAATTAACTGTAGCGGAAAAAGCAGCCAAGAAGAGGAAGTCCCTTCTCAAGGAAACTGAAGACTTGTCTGGAGCTCGGTTGCAAGTCTAGCTGGGACCAGCAGGGGGAGCTGTGGTGCACTGCCAGTAAATAAAATAGGGTTGCAAGCAATTTCCTGTCATCAGTATTCTGAGGGTAGAAGCATTGTCTCCTTCCATCAGAGGAACCATTTGTGATGTTGCTGTATAAAAACAGTCTGGATATCTCTGGGGCTCTGATATGGGGTCTGTGATGGTAAAGACCGAAAGAGTAACTAGTAACTGACATTGCACATAGATGGCATAAAAGAAAAATGCAAAGTCAGATAGAAATGAGTTTTGTGTCATTCCATTTTTGCATAATTTTGTGTATAACTCTACCACATGTAGCAGTACCCTTCATATTAAAGGAGTTTTTTCATGTATGTTTCCTTTGTAGTGTTGGGTTTAACTGCTCATGATGGCCAATACTGACCAGTACATGTAAAGGATTCTTAAATATTAAATCTTCATATCTTATGGATCTTGATACCTATTAATTAGTCTGAAAGTGCAATGGCTCTGAATATCTCTTATAAAAAAATTAATAACACAACTCACGCAGTTTTCTATATTTTGTATCCATGGTTTGAAGTATTAGAGGTGGTGCATGATTCTTGTAGTCCTTGGTCATGACTGGCTGCAGGTTTGAGAATTCTCGGTGAAGAGGTACCGTTCCAACTATCAATGGCATCTGGATTTCTAGAGGGTTGGTTTCTCCAGCAATTTCCACAATAAACTGGGGGCAATAATGTTGTCTACATTAGATCAGCTCCATTTATACCTTACAAGGAGTAGGGAATGGAGGACATTACATAATATGAACTTTGTGAATTTTGCACATACTCTGATAGGAGGCCATGGAATGAAGTCCCATGAATTGAACCCCTCAACTTTACCCTAGGGATGATATACTTCCTCCTCTGACATGCTCCCTGTACTCCCAACTAGATGTATCAAGCTCTTTCATCCCACCATCCATGGGACTTCTTTCTGCAATCTCAATATAGTATGATGAGCATATTCAAGTAAAAAGAGTATAAAACAGAATGAACTTGTAGTAAGGATGAAGGAAATAAATGTATGCAGAATTATTGTTGGGCAGGCTTGAGAAGTGATCATTTTGAAGAGCAAGAAGAATAGGAGATTGTTATTGAATTTAACTGGTTTGGGATAATGTCCAGTAACTGGCTCTGGTTTTAGTTTGTTGAATTTGTGGATTTTATTACCTCTCAAAATTTTCAAATCATAAACCAAAATTTATTTTGTAGTTACAAACGGCACAAAGCCACGGGTGGTGATGAATAATGTTCTATTACATATGCATTACAGTGAAATAAGTAAGAAAGTAGCAAAAATTTCACTTCATTAATCTTTCCATTCAAAAAATAATTACACAATGACATGCTTCAGCAATAACATCAAACACATTAGACCATTTTTATACACAGAACACGAAAATAAAATATTTTACCCAAAAATTAACAGCATTATTAAATGCATATTTTAAAGATATTAATCTAAAATTTCCTTCATTAATATTGAAACGAAAAATGTAATTGAAATGAAATATGTTACAAATATTTAAGTTTTATAGTAACAAACTTTCTTTTTTGAGGTTAAAATATTTCAGGCACATCATTGAATGTCAGTGTGACTCTTTCCATATCGCATGTATGCCCAGTGACTGAGGCTAGCTCTTTCTAAGGGCCCCAACAGAGTAGGTGTCTTCCCTCACCTGAGGATGGAAACAGATCCAGTTTCCGAAACGTTGTGTTTTTCCCTAATTATTTAGAATCCGGACGATGGACAAAGTCCGAAAACCCAGTATCTCTGTGTGTTATACACCATCATCAGAACCTTATAGTATCTGCATGTATGTTTGTTAACATGCTGTATGCTATTGCATTTTGCACTGCTTATCTCAAATACTACACATTTAAATTTAGTTACAGAAGTATATTGTAGCTGTTTATTTGTTTGTATATATCTATATATGAGTGAATTTGTTGTAACATGGTGTTGATTTTATTTTATATATGGACCTAATTTTCTGTTAAAATGAATAATTTTTTAATTTTATAGTTTATGTATGAATTAAAGAAAGTAAATGGAATGCAGAAATTACATTATAAATTTATAACATTTCAGTTTTGTTATGATAAACGTATAAAAGTTATATACTGGATATGAGTCACATAGCCATTTGGTTCCCTTGACATGACTTATCTATAGGAGAGCTTGACATTTATTGTGGTTATGGTATGTCACTGTGTACAGTTCTTCTAGCGGTCATTTTTAGTTCCTTGTGAGTTGTATTGACATCATCTACTGACTCATATGTGTCAATATGGGTACCAATTAATTTACTTGTCTTATATTTTTGTATTTAAAACATTGATTCAACTTATTTTGTGTCTTCCTTTTTTATTACAAGATCTTCATAATATCATCAAGACTTCCATGAATTTATGAAGGTGAATTTTGTTATGTGATGAACAAATTTATATTATATCTCTGAAAACCTATGTGTTCTGGTACAATAATTTATGAGAAAAATTTAAAACTTTGATTAGGAAAATTATTTCCACATGCGTAAAATATGGAATGTGACAAAATTGTGACTTAGACTATGTAGATCAAATAAAAAACAAATGAGAAAGGTAAAGCTGTCCCTGTAACAGGCCATGAAGGCCCATAGGGTTGTGAGACATTGAAGCTCCCACATTTTGTCTAGACAATCAGCTCACAGATGGCGGTAAGGTTGTCAGCCTCTTTATTCCCAGGGAAGATTCTTGGTACTGATTTCTGTTAGAGGCTTACCCCAGGGCCATAGTGCAACTGGAAGAATTAGGTAAATTGAAAAAATACACCTCATCGGGACTTGAACCCATGGCCTTCCGACTTGTAGCATAGTGCCTCAACCAACTATGTTACCACGTGCCCCAATGTAGATAAAATATTTGAGATATATTTAGAAGAAGATAGCAAATGGATAACAAAATGAATGAAAAGAGTTCTTAACAAAATCTTGTAAAACAAAGCGAGACCAGGTTCCAATTATTTGCATTATTCAAAGCAAGGATGCTCACATCAAGGCGATATTCTATTTCCATCAACTTGCAGAAGTTTTCAAGCTTAGATGTTGGTGGCAATGGTGGCACTGTGACTGGAACTCTGTCCCATGTGTCAGACTCACCACATGCTACTCTCCCTCGATATACCTGACTGATCACAACTTCGTCCCTGTGACTTCGGAAGCCTTTGTTTGAGAAATATGTTACAACCTGAAATAATGTGTTATATATTATTAGCAGGCCTTCAAGATCCTGTATTAAATTTACTGTATCATATATCATAGCCTTTTGGGAAATTTAGCACTGCAGAACTGAGTAATACTGTAGAAGACACAAGGAGGTTTCCACATTTTGCAGATAATTACATAAGATTTATGGACAGGATATTCGCAATCAAGTCCAAAATTGGAATAATTTTGTTTCTGAGAAATAGTTCTTTTTGGAGTGACATAGAACTAAGAGGCTGAATAGCGGCCTCCATAGTCTAGGGGTAACGTTCCCACCTCATGAACCTCATGACTCAAGGTACGCAGGTTCAAACCTGGCGGAGGTCATGGAATTTTTTAGGGCAGAAAAATTCTGGGAACAAGTCCTCCGGGAGGGAGCCATGTGTCCCGTGTTCTAGATTTACGGCACGTAAAAGATCCTCATGTCTCTAGGAGACCTCTGAGCAAAATTAGGCAAAGTTTCCTGCCCAAGTAGTTTCCAATTCCTACGGTAGATGGGGAAGTATCGGGGACCACTGCCAGAGAGGGCCGACCTCATTGGCAGAACGGGGCTGATAGCGAGCATCAGTACTGGAGGACCATGGCGACTAGTAGAAATTATAGGGGGACACACAATAGATTAACAATTAGTCGTGGTGCATGGGGAAACCCACCCCCTCCAATAATAATAATAAATAATAATAAGAGGCTGAATGATGTTATTTGCTAGATTACTCTTCATATATGCTCAAGCTGGCTGCATATGTATGAGATGTGATCCAAAATCTCACTTAGAAAACAGCTCTTACCAACACACCATTTTTGCCTTCCCACTTTGCAGCCTCAGACTTAAAAGCTTACTAATTTAAATTAAAGATCAGATATGCTCAAATATTTTATGCAAAAGATAACATTTTGAATAACAGTCACTTTGCTCTGCATCAGAATATATAAAATTAAGGATAAAAAAGAGCTGTCTTCAAATTACAGAACAATTATTACCACCACCCAGTGTGATTCCCTTTGTAGATATTTATTGCCTCTACATGTTTCGATCAGCTGACAATCTTCAAAAGGCATAAGATGAACATGTTCAGGAGCTACTATTACAAAGTTCATAACACATACTTAGAAGTTTTAATATAAAAAGTTAATTAAAATTATCGAATTAAAATGAAGCTGTTTTCAGATTCAGTAGTTTAATTAAGGCTTCATCATTGTATCAGAATATAAAAAAAAGTTAAACCTACCTATGTTCATACATAATTTTTGCTTGTACAAGTATATACCAAAATTAGTGCATGAAACCAGTGCCACTTGCAACTGTAAACTTCAAAGCTTACATAACTTTAGACAAATTTACCAATATTCAATGTGCAAGAGGAAGCTGCAGTGTGAAACAGTACTGTCATCCATATATATTATGCTTTCAATTAAATGTTTATTCAAATATGTATATCGAGCCAAATATTGATAAAATTGTTCTTCAAAATTTCTTAAAATTGCAGAACTCTTTTTTATCAAATCTACGATGTTGCCGGACTTCGTGAAGTTCAGTTCTCTATCACTCTTCAGGCCAGTAGGACCTGACAGGACAAAGAGTATGTCAATTGTTGAATTCAAATTTATACTTTCCTGAAATCAATGACAATTTTTTTCATGCAGCTTGTTAAGGATGCCATTATACTTTAACAGCTACATAAGATATCGTGTTTTATATAGAGCAGAAAATATGTAAATTTATTTTTTGTACCTATCTTTAAAGAAAAAAATTTACTTAGTGTGCTGTACAGTTATACAGAAGTCCTGTATAACATTGTCCTTCCCCTGAAGGTTCATGTGGTGTGGTATCCAGATATTCCGTGACATTAACAATGAATCTCAGGTCAGTTATTCAGTCCTTGTGAGAATATTGTAGCATGTCCGCTGAAAGCCAGAATACTTTAATCTGCAGAGATGGCAGTTGCGAGGCAAAATCTCTGCAAACACATTTCAGCGGCTACCAGTTCATGTGGCATGTAAGAGTGGCCATGCTCTTACATACAACAGAGGAACAAGTCACAATACATCAGATATGAGTCTACAGTGAAAGGGTAAAACCAAGATGTTGTCTTGCCTTCAATGGAAATGAAAGTGCAACTTGGCATACACTTCCAGAAGAGGCTTGTTTCTTCAAGATTAAATAACTGCTTGGTTCCTTTAGTATGAATGCCATCTGGAACTGCAGCTTCACTAGTCACTTTCAGAAATAGCTCCTTGGTTAGACAAAAGTCTTCAGACACTATGTCTGCTTAGATGCACAATCCATTGGTTGTAAATTTGTTCAGGTCTGTTTCAGGTAATGAATAGGGTTACCTTTCATTACTATAGTAACATTTTGTGTTCTGTGCTGCATAGATGAATAACATAGCTGTATCATGAAATTGTTACACAGGCAGTTGTATTCTGACATATATAACTGCTTAGACTAGCAGAGAAACTGATAAATTAACTATAATTTTAATTGTATGTACATCCTGAATGCTGTCTATGTTAAACTCTTGTTTACAGACATGGTCAATGAAAAGATGGCAGGTTCCTGATGTATTTAAAGGAAGTAAAGATACTTACTTGAATGAGTTTTACACAGCTTCTGTATACTGGTGTGTTACTCATATTCAGAACATCTGCAGAAATAAGGATATCTTCTCCTGGGACATAAGCCCTCCTCTTGATACTTGCAGAAACAATTATAGTGCCCTTCTGACAGCAGAAGAGGCAGGAATTGGTACTTCTCTGTTCGCTCACACCAGTCTGCCAGACAGGATTATATATAAATGTTGAAATGAAACATATATCTAGAAATATCCTGAAACCACAAAAGGAACGTTCTGTTCGAGTTCATTTCATGAGTTGGACATCAGGTTACCTTCTTGTGGTAATAAAAGTATGAGCTCATTGACTTACAGATTTGAGCACTAAGTACCACGTAGTATACCTTATACAGTATTACAGAAGAAATTTGAAAAAGGCGATCTGAAATAACTAAAAAGGTACAAAATTTCAATACAGAGTGTTCCCTTAAATTCACTTTTCGTGATCATAAGAAGGATGATCGTAACTAATTCTGCTAGTTTGCAAATCTGATTTAAAAATCTGTTTATGCTGTAAATACTAGAATTATACATGAAATACCTGGCACTGGTTTCACCTTCTACATTTGCTTCAGTAAGACTTTAGCTTTGCTGTCACTACGTAGCTTCCCATTATTTTCAACTGCCACTTCTTTTTTGTTGACACAATAAATTCAGCAGCCAGTCTCTCCTCATTTTCATATGAGATGTCACACCTGAGTCAGTTTCTACTCACTGTAACTCACATTTTCTACAAATTCAGTAATTATGGTTGATTCACCTACTTTAAAAGTGATTTATTGGTTTTGGTCCTTTCAATTTTTACACCACTGACTTCCTATATCCTGGCACATTAGAGTCATACCATCAGAAAGTGTTTTAAATGCATAGTGCTTCTTTGACATTTGCATTAGTTAAATATGCTGTCTCTTACTGGAAATCTTGCTTTACACATATTTTAGACTTCAGATCTTCCTTGGTTAATTTGACTTCATATAATCATATGAGCATTCAGGTTCCATTGTCATTGGTTTGTATTCTTGTAGAAGTTCATTTGATATATTAACTGATTAATTTGTACTCCACTGGAGAGCTATATCTGTGAACCTCTGTACTGTTAACATAATTTCAGTCACACACTCTTCCATGCTCTAGTAATGTTCACCTGACCATCTTTAATATGCTTAATATGCGTATTAAAGATGAGCAGTGACACACAAACAGGGAGCCTGCACAGAATAATACATGAACAGTGCTAAAAATAAGAAATAGCCGCTGCAGCACATGTGGACACAGAGCGGCTATCCATGTGATTTAAAACTTTAAATTTTGAATATTAAAAGTTATAAAATTTTAAATTTAAAATTAGAATTCTAAAACCAAATTGATGGGCGTATGTCGGCGAGATTTTATACAAAACTGACAGACTGGTGTTTTAGATTTTGGATTGTGTGCAGTATGACAGCTACATAGTTAAAAATACACCTGATGATGGCTGGTTGCCACCAAAGCATGTAGTGTAGAGGAAGAAAAGACAAAGAACTACAACCAAATAAATTGTTGAATTCACGATGGCATTTGTATTATTACATATAGAAGTGTATAGTGCAACAGGATGCTTAAATATAATATGCCTGGCTTGATATGCATACATACGCACGCACACACACACACACATTACTGGCACCCATATTACACAGTGTCTTCTTACCACCACAGATGACTGACTTTGAAATCCAGTAACAAATACTAAAGTTACTGAATACTGACATTTGCATTTTGAGGATAATCTTGTGTGGATTTCAATAACATAATACTTGCACTACTAACAAATGTGCTTACAACACATCACCATACAAATTTCTTATTAATTTATGATGATTAACAATTGTTGTTGCCAAATATTGCAGTCCAGGTGTTAACACTCCTATTTCACATTCAGTAGGTCTTATGTTTGATTCTTGGCCTGATGGTCAGCTAAGCCGACAAGTTTTCCTTGATTATCCAAAGTTCATCTTGATAAATTGTGGAACAATTTTTTTTTCAATTTCCCTTCTTGCCCATTCAGGGCACAGGCCTCTTATTCAGTTCTGTAATTATTTTTCATAGGTGGTAGGACTCCCTGGCTGAGTGGTCATCCCATTGCAAGGCCACTACCTAAACTACCTAAACAATGGACAACACAAACAGAGAACAAATGCATACACATACTAAACATCCATGCCTTAAGTGGGATTCAAACCCACAATCCCAACATCCATTCAAGTGAAGACAGTTCATGCCTTAGACCATGCAGCTACTGTGACTGGCAACTGGGGAACAATGCCTTCACTAAGCCGGACAATTTCTTCTCACAGCCTTCATAATTCAGTTACCCTGTCATGGAATGCTATATAATTCATGCAACTGGATAAGCACCGTTAAATAGATAAATAAATTATCAAGAATAAAGAGTGTTTTCTTGAAAGAAAATCATTCCTGGTGATCATTATGTTGTTACTTGTACATTTTACTTTCAAAATAAATATTTTCTTTAAGTTGTTTACATTTGATCACATCCACATTTCTCAGGGTCATGGTATTTGTAAGGTTGATGACAGGGAAACAAAAGCTGGGACTTGCAGGTGCCTGTAACAGTATACTGCACATACTGCATTTCAAGGAAATTGATAGGTAAATGATGTCTATAGTATTCAGGTCCATACTTCAATCAGTGGATAGAAAGAAGACATGTCTCAGCAATGTGGTTCCTAAGAGTTCCTTCTTTAGAAGCCTAAGAAGTCACTATACTTTCTATGATAGCACACTATATCCATTACAGGAATTCAATAACTTACATCTGCCTTTGGGTCTATGTTCACATCAGCAATGTTGCTCACACTGAACACTGTTTGGCACTGAACATTTGGCAATGCACTACGTTCTAGTATAGCCTCACAGAAATAGCGTATGTAGCCCAAACGGCCATGGAATGAGGCTGGAAGTTTGGCTGGAAGAGTGTAGTGGAATGGAAAGCTATGTTCTCCTGCCCATAGCCTCTCACGTTTGCCTGCAGAGCCAAAATGTTGAAGGGTATCAAAATTGGGAAATGGAACATATAATAATGAAGTTAAAATTAATCAAGACAGCTGTTCAGACCAAAGAGAGACCTTTTTGCATTCAATTTTGAACGGTTAGATTTCTGCCATTAGAAAGAATTATGTACAGTTCACACCAATATATTGAATGAATCAAGGCATATTGTATTATTAAATCATAAAATAAATTTAACACATTGCGGACCAGTTGTTTAAATATTTAAATCACCATGGAGACCGGGTTTTTAAGCCTAGCACCCTAACTTGTGCACTGTTCACTTTAAAAATTAATATAAAATTTCCTAATTAATTTTATGAACTAAAATTTTTAGAGAATACTTATCAGAGCTCCTAGAAGTGCTTGTGCATGTGATATCTCTGGAAACATTCCCCTTTGTGACATCGGAGCTCTCACTTTCACTGGACACAATATTTTTGGGGGCCCTGTGGCCCCTGTCACTGTCAATTTCACTGAGGCTGGCCTCCCTATCAGAAGACGAAGCAGTTGGCAAATCTGATAGCTCATCGGAGAAGAAATCTAATATTTCTTGTTCTCCAAGAGAACGCTTCTCCTGCAACTGCTTTCGTCTCTGATCCATGTTGCACTGCTAACTTCCTGGTTCATACATGGAAGCTTGGACTCGAACAAAGGCTTTTTTCTTTAGGGTGTGACAGGAAATGAGGGTGATCATGTTACTAGCTAAGCTAGCAAACATTCCTGAGGTCAACTATGCAGTAGTTATGATGCAATGTGGCCACACAGCGAGATATAGTCGGTTGCAACATAACAAGCCAGAAAAGGGCCAATTGGCCCGCCCGGTCCGCAACGCTATAGAAACGTAGAGGGCCAATTGGCCCCTCCGGTCCTGATTGTGTTAAAAGTCACCAAGATAAACTGTGAAGAAGGTAGAAGATTCACGGGGTTTTGGCTGTCAGCATTGGTAATCTTGGAGATGTAAATGGCATGTCATGTCTCAATGCTTCACCTTAATATTTCATTATCAGGAAAAAGGCTATGGGTTCAGTAATGTGGTTTGATGTCCAAGACATGCTATAATCAGAATTTGGGAGAGGTTGTTTTAATGTACAGCATATTATAGCTTTAAAAAGCTATTTAATCTGAGATTAACAGTCCAGCAAACTGTACAAAAAGGTCATGCCTAAATCCACAGTCACATTTTGTGAAGTATATCAAAATATTAACTGAATCTAAATAAATATTTATAATTTCTTTGCCTTTGCTTTTCATATTTGACTATTTAAGCCATGTTAAGTCACTTACAGATAATATACAGAGTCTGAATCATTAACTTCCTCTTTCCTGCCTCATCCAAGAAAGGTTAATGTTTATTCAGACTCTGATCCTATGAGTAACATGGTCTCTTTTCCTGGGGTGATTCAGCAGAAACGTAAACCTAACAAAATTTATATCTAGTGCTGATATCAAGCTCTATTGTCCCTGTAGCCTTTGTAGGATTCTGCTTAAGCAGTGGTGTAACTTCACTCCAACTACTGTTACTACCATTATGACAAACTAAAACTAATTTCCTTACTCTGAAACCAGCAAAGCATCAGGTCAGAACTGAAGCCCCATTTTTAAAAACTGAGAATGTGATAATGTTCTGTCTAGTCAGGGCTACAGCACATATTGAGGAACGAATAAATGAGCATGAAGCTTTAGCAGAGTAGTTATTCATGGGAGACAAGCGAAGAAAATTAAAGGAAAACCTGCTCCAGTTTCACTTTGTCCACCACAGTTGTCATATGAAGTCACAAGGAAATGAAAGTGAGGATTCGCACTAAGAAGCCAGCAGCCAACTGTCTTCTCTATGGCACAACTACCTGTCTGATAACACACTTTGTGCTTCTGATGTCCACTGTGTATACTGAAATATGCCACAGGAGACTACTTACTACTGTACTTATGCCCAAACACATACATCTTGTGGTCAAAGTACTTCTCATGGGAACGAAATGTTGCATCTCTGCTTTGCTCTTTTGTTCTTCTTCGCTGCAATGGCTGAACCTGACTGCGGGGACCCTTCGTCCAGCCCTCTTTGACAGGAGAATCTGGAGTCTCAGCCTGTGTTCCACAACATGATGATGTTGCACCAGACAAATCTGACAGTGAAGGGCTTCTGCAGGAAACAAAATGACAGAACATCTATTTACTGTAAGTTCTGCAGTTAGAGCCACTCTCTTGCAGATATCTTCACAGCCCAGGCCAGCTCATAACAAAGCTGTTAATATGATTACTACAGATTTGATATGTTTCAATTACAGAAAACATACACATTACATAATCTCTACTTCTATCTGCGCTTACAAATTTATGTCCACCTGTAAATTATAGTGTGAGTTCTGATTTTGGTGTGGTTTGATATATCTGAATAACAGCTGTTCTTAAATATTTATCAGTTATGGTGAGTAAATTCCATTCATTTTAATTTGTTTTAAGAAATAATTTACCGAAGAACTTAAATTTATTTTTGTAATATCTAAGTAACGCCGGTCACGGTAGCTGAGCGGTCTAAGGCATGTACTGTCTTCACTCGCTTGGAAACCGGGATCGTGGATTCGAATCCCACTCAGGGCATGGATGTTTAGTTTGTGTGTGTGCGTTTTTCTGTGTTTGTGTACAGCTAGAGGCCTTGCGATGAGCTGATCACCCGCCCAAGGAGTCCTACCGAATGTGTAAGATCTAGAAAAACCGAAGTGAACGGAGAAGTTCATGGAGGCAGGCCTAGGCCCACTGGGGCTGTAGTGCCAAGGAAAAAAAAAAAATCTAAGTAATATATTGTGAGATCTGAGGTTCTCAAAGAAGTGACCATATAGATTGCTGCCTGCTGGGGTGTAATGCCGTGCAGTCTAAAAGATACTTTCCAGCATCTTAGAGGAAGCTGCTTCAGTCACCTTCAGGGTATAAGAGTAAACAATATTATGTTATACAGTATAAGGAAGAGAGGAAAAGGACAGGGGCTAAGGGTAAACTAATGAGAAAGGTTCATACCACTGAAGATGGAGGAAAGAGATCCCTTAAGGCTATGTCATAGCTCAGAGAGTTAGTCACTGGCTTCCCACCAAGGCAGCCCAGGTTCCAGGCCAGGTCAGGTAATGTGGGATTTGTGATGGACAAGTGGCACTGGGGCAGGTTTGCTCTGAGTATTTCAGTCTCCCCTGTCAATTCTCATTCCACTGACTGCTCCAGATTCATCATCTGTCATCTGGGGCTGGTACAATAGGCCAATTAGTGGCCTACATACCAAGTGGACTCAGTCTTAACCCATTCCAAGAAATTAAAAAAAAAAAAATGTTTCTCTTGAACAATATCTACCACACTACATGGTGTCACATCCCAGAACACAGCATTCTTTAAGTGTCACCTTTAATATGTTGCAGGTAACCATACAGTATGCACACATGTTGTATATTCTACAATTTATTTTATTTAGACTTATGAACTACTACTAAATCCCTGACATATTTCAGCTTACTAAATTTTCAGAAAGAAAGGTTAAAACTTTTAGTTAAGTTGTTTATTCAGAAGATTTATAGGTATATTTTATATATGAATGAGTAGAACTCATGGGCAGTTGACTCCATGCTGGGCACAGGACAAAAGGTAGCCAAGTTACCTTTCGCCATCTAGAGATATAAGTCCATTAACACATAATACCATGTTTCACAAGAATTTATCTTTACTGAAAGATAGTAAATAAGATTAAATTTGTAACACTGAAGTTACAAAGTGCAACAATGTCAGTCCGCATTATGAAGAGTCCTGATTAATATGGTTTCCAATTACTGAGGTTCCACTGTATATGTACATGAAAGGTTTAAAACGCCTAAGTCGTTTAATAAAATTTATGCTTGTAAATATTTAAAATTCACGTTCTGTTGAATTTCTTTGATATTAGTGCAATCTTGCCAGATTAGTGCTGTATCATGTTATGTCATGTATCATTGACTCATATTTATTCCTTAAAATGTTGGTGTAAAAATGTTATGCTGTATCTTAATACTGGTTCCTAGGAGATGAAGTGCTGATCAGCTGGCAGCATCATTCAGTAACTAAGATGTGACAGATGACTACTGAAAGTAAACTGTAGGAAGTTGGAGTGTTTACTGGGAACTCACATCTTGTTCTTGTTGCACAGGTTTCGACGCAGGTCTGAGATATGCCGCATATTCCATGGTGAGGTCTCTTTCTGCTCTGGAACGCTAACATATGCCTCACCCACAAATCGTACTATGATACCTGTGGTAAAAGAGAGGGATTGCAATCATTCATTCTAATCAAATTTTCTACATGTGTTGGTAAAAACGGGCTCTCTTCCATCAACATAAACCTTACACCTTCATATATGTTCACTCTTCCTAAATAAGCTCTCATTGTTAAATACTGAGTGTATACTTAATATATTTCAAGCATGGGAAATACTACTATCTAATTCATAATATCTTCACTAGTGAAGACAGCACCACATGTTGCTTGAGGGAACAACACAAAAACAAGGGGCATATTGCAGATTGCAGACATAGTAGCTGAAACAAACTGTCTGGAACACACGTCACATAGCTGTAAGAAAGTGGACAACACCCCTTAAGAGGTGGATTAGGATTTTATGAAAGATTTTAATAGAAAAATATTAATGAATTTTAAGCAATCATTTGTGTTATTTTAAGTGACTGCAATGCACAATTAGCATGCATCATAGCAGTGTAACAGTTTGGACACACTGAAACATCTGAGGATAGCCATCTGTGGCTGAAACATGTTGTATTAATGTTAAATGGTGAATATTTTAATGATTGTTGCATTATTGACAGACTTAATACATAGACTTTTAATTAAAGATGTGAAACAGAATGCTGAAATACAGACAAGAACAGATGGTCTAAATAATACATTTGAAATGGAGGAAACGTTACTGCAAATTTCAATTTTGTTAGTTAACTGTGTAGCTTTTAAAAGTTGATTTGTCTGTAAATTTTGTTCGAAATGTTGGTAACTGTAAATAGGCAGTGATGCTGAATTAACAATGATGTTGTCAATTCAGAGCATATTAAAAAGCTTTCATACCAATAAATATAGACCTCTGCAATAAAATGATTAATGTCAGGAGTGTGATCTCGATGGGAAGTCGTTGGGATTGTCATCTTCATTAACACCACCAGATCACCACTGGAACCTACTGTGCATAATATATAGTGGGTAATGAAACCCTCTTTCCGGGCTGCAGACAAAGAGTCCATACCTGATCATTTACTTCCAGCTGCTACCAACAGAATGCATGGAGCCTTATTTCTGTGCTCTGTATATGTCCACTGCACGGTATGCAGAGATGGCAATACACAATGCATATGTATCTTAAAACTGTGAATAAGAAATTGTATCCTTGTGGCAGTGGCTACTTGTTTGATATGATGGTTATTAATGGGCTTGTGGAAATTTTGTGTATGTTTATTTTAATATAATTTCCATTATTGTTATTTCCTCATTCCCACAAACCTTGCACAGTAAGACAGCCAGCCAAGTCGACCTTAACATGACCACTAATCTCTTCCCCACAGAAGTAAACATGATCAGGCTCCTCTAACACCACATCGAACTGACGGATCTCCTCTGGCACCTGCCTACTGCAGAACAGCTGCAACAAACAAATATCTCAGTGCTGTCACATTGTAGATAAAAACGTTCAGCTTATTTTGCTACAAAGCCGAGGAAGTGGTTAACCTGTCTTCTATGAGCCCAGTTTTAAGTGTTGTTTTTTTTTGTGACTGCCCCTCAAAGTATGATACATTCTTTATTGGATATTTGGAAATAAAAGTACTAGCAGAATTTATTCAGACTGTTCCAAAAAAGGAAACAAAGGATATCTCATGCAGGAACCGGAACTTGAAAAGCGGTGAGGCCTCTTTCATAACTCTAGTTGATATCTTCTATGGCTGGCTTGAGAATCAGTGGTCTAGACTGTGTCTCAACTTATTTGCTCATCCCGTGAAAAAATGCAGAAATCACTAAAATGATATGCCTAATTTTTGTAATAAATGCAATAGTAATGTCACATTTTATTCGTCTTTTGCTTATCCTTCCATTACTTGTAGCTGCGATTACATTTGGTGCAGTGAGGTAGACTGCATCTCCATAATAATGTCCACCTCAGGGTATGCTATTCTGGTTTTAACACCATGCAGTTCAGAAAGAGCCCGGCTCTTCGGAAGACAATGACACCTCTATAATTAGGGTCGAAAGGGATGCTAAGTCAAAAAGTTGAGTCATCTGTATCTGCTGGTTTCTGGAAAAGATACATATTTCTCTAAAACGTCTAGTTCTTTCAAAACTACATAGTATTACAACCCAGAAGATAGCAGTCTTCTTAGCCTCATCTGTAAGGACGTCAAATGCAAAATGTCTACCTCAACTTGATCATAAAGGTACAGTTAACTTTGTGCTTAATCAATTAAACACCACATCATGAAGACATGTGCTGGAAAGGAAATATACCTGCAACATTCATGACTTCAGCATTAGATGGAATTTCATGCCCTGACCACTTTATCCCCAAGGAAAAACTTGCTTTTATCCACTGAATTGGAGGCTGGGTGGGACCCATACCCTGTCTGAACGCTGTGGAATAGAAAAAGAAAAATCCTTGTCCTGCCAGGAACCGAACCCCGGCCGTCCAGCCTGTAGCCAGTCTCTATACTGAGTGAGCTATCTCTGTTCAGCTTGAGCATTAATAGTCTATAATTCATGTTTAATATATGGGCACTTGTTTAATATGTCACGAAGTGCTTTGTCTTAGATCTAATTTTCTATGAGGCCTTCCTTCTCATTACAACGGAGAACTCTTGGTAACAGAGAGGATACCTTCTCGAATGCTTCACACATATGGCAGCATGTTTAGCCTGCATATATTGTATAATTTTGGTGTAACTTCTTCTATACTCTGAACACATGTCCAACATGCAGAGAATTTCTATAGGTCTAAATTTTTTGGCAACAAGTAGGATTAGGTACGTAGGGCTTCATATAAATCCGTTACAATACCTACAGGAGGAGACAGATGATCAAAGGTCATGGATAGAGACAGGAGCAGGAACCGGTTTCCCAACACACTTCCTCCTTACGCCTTTACTCTTTAACTTTGCCCCTAAAACATATGCACAATTTGTTAACATATATCTTAACGAATAAAGTGGACAGAATTTAACCCATTGTTATGTGGTTACATTAAAGTCACAAATGTTCAAATAATCACCACCAGAACCAGGGTACTCCTACTGTTGACAACAGCGTTGAAGAGAGAGACATATTTGTATTGGTTCTGGTGGAATAGCAGCACAGACATTCTCAAATCTGTGCTCCATATCCTAACAGAGTTCTTGAATTTGTGACATTCACAGCGTTCTTTAGAGCAGCGCACAGACGTTAAGCTAGGAGATCGTGGTGACTTCTCCACACGCCCACTTCGTTCTGTGTATCTTCCAGGGAAACAGTCTTAATGTGCACGGTTTCCAGTTGTCACGCCGCAAAACGCGTTGAACAAGGGTTTCACAAGCACAAATATCACAAAAACAGTGCCTTGTAGACACCTTCGGTGATCATGGGAAGGCCTGCAATAATGTTACAACATTTCCATTGTCAGTTGAATTGCAAGTTCTTCCAGACCGTCCGTTGTTCACGTTTTGCACTGTTCTGCCTCAAACTTATCATACAGCATTGCAATTATTACACGTGTTGGTGGTGTTCCAAATCCACTCCCCCTTCTACAACTTAATTATATTTTTAATTTTCCAATGGCACTTCCAATCATGTTATTCGAAGCCTAATTTATGTTCCGCCATTTTGTTATACGCGGGATGCTGCCATATATAGCGGAGTGTACCAGTAGTAAATTCCGTGCACCTATTTCAGCTTTCAATGCTTTCATCACTTCAAAATGATATCACTGTCTCGCTTTCTAAGTTTTTGTCTACAATATCCTATTTATAGACCAACAAGAGTCAAGCCTGGAACACGTAAAAACTTTAAAGGGACAAGCATGCAGCAACTGTGCATTGCCAATGTCTAAAACCGCTCGAAATTATGTATTTAAACTGTACCTCTGATTGAGGTCATATCCAGCCGAGCCCCACCACTCAGTCTTGTGCGGGTCCTGTCATAGGGTCCAGAAATTACTGTCTGTAGAATCTTTAAGTTATTCTTCTCCACAGTACGTTTTGCAAACGGTTTTCTTTGAAGATCTCCATGCCGAATCGTTCCGAAGTCTGGATCAATATACAGACTGATCTACTTATAATGGTGTGGTGCTGACTGGTTTGTTTCTCTGCTTTACGTTCGAGGCAGCCCAAAGAGCACCCAAAATTAGTGTAATGAAGTTGGCGGTGTTGAGCAGAATTCATTTTGATCTGATTTTGAAATTACCGACTTTTATAACTTCGATTTGTGAATTCTAGTTGTCAATCACGGCCGGTCACGGTAGCCGAGCGGTCTAAGGCGTCTAAGGCATACACTGTCTTCGCTCGCTAGGAAGCCGGGATCGTGGGTTCAAATCCCACTCAGGGTATGGATGTTAGTTTATGTGTGTGCGTCTTTCTGTGTTTGTGTACAGGTAGAGGCCTTGCGACGAGCTGATCACCCGCCTAAGGAGTCCTACTGTATGCCTAAGATCTAGAAAAACCGAAGTGAACGGAGAAGTTCATGGAGGTAGGCCTAGGCCCACTG